TGTTACATTGTACAGTGGCATAATGTGCACCTCTGCCTACCCCTTCGGGGATAAAAGGCGTGATGTTATGTGTTATAAGTAGGCTATCTAAATAATAAACTAGGAAGGTTTACTCGTGTGTATGTTTATTATTTTAATTTCATCAAAACTACTGAACTTACTAGGGGGCTTACTCTTGAATCCAATTTCGATCGATTGACATTGATATTGTGAAATTTCGTACTCTCGAGTTGCAACACTAGCGCCCATTGCATCCGTATTGCGTAGATATTGAATGAACTAAATGGTACTGAGTTTGGTTTTATATTCCGTACTCTGAATGCTACTTTAACAGCTACGATAGGGGTTGTATAGTTTTGACATTAGATTATTATTGAGATTTTATTGGATTGAAATTGCATTGACATTTAAATTGGTTTCTAGAGTAAGCACCCAGATCGGGATGTAATTAGCACAGATATAATATATTATAGCCTGTAATAGCTTATAGGATTATTTATCCCGGTTTCCATGGCAACGAACCATGAGGAGAAACAGTTTAGTCTAAGTAACGATGAAAGTGTATTAATAAAAATGAATTTAATTTAAAAATAGTAAATAAATAGATGAAAATGGCGTTACAATGAGCATAGGAGATAAAAGTAGAATAAAATTGTCCAAATAAGATACCTACGTGTGTCAGACTCAATTGAGCAAGTATTTTATAAAGAAATCATTATTCACAGTCTTTTATGATATAAGGTTTAATTTTGCTTAAAAAAATTAAATTTGTATGTATCTAAAGTATGTTATATATATCATTTTTTAAAATCGGTTCTTATAGTCGGGTTGTTAGCAAAAACCCGACTATAAGGACCAATTTTTCCAATGACAGATAAATTTTAACTGACGAATAGCTTTGAATATTTGACAATTCTTTCATACTAACTGTCAAATGTCATTTAAGACAGTTAGGAGTTAACTGATGATTGAAAAATCGGTCCAAAAAGTCAGATTTACACAGGGTCGGAATCGATACAAGTCGGCGCTGACTCAATGTAAATTGATTTGAAGTCACTACAACGGAATGAAATCAACGTTGACTTGAAAATTACCACACGAATATTTTGAAGTCCGATAAGTCAGTTTACTGTCCCTGTGTTAAAAGTACAAAATTATTAAAACTTTTTTTAACTGGCAGTATCAATGAAAAATATGTTTTAATCATAATTTCAATGCTCTTAGTCAAAAGTTCTATGCTTTGTCTAAGAGTTAAGACCGTTTAACTTTATGTTACGTTTTTTGAGAGCAAATAGACAGTATAAATTATTTTTTATGAACCTACCATAGAAAATGGCACTTCAAATGGCAAAAACAGTTCCAAAATTAAACCAAAATATCAATAAATAAATAAATAGTCTACATTTTAATACATTTATGGATTGGACGACACAAACAAAATGTGTAAAAAATAATAAAAAAATCAAGTTCTATATTTGTAAAGATCTGTTTGGATAAGATCTAAGATCAACTTCATTTAGATAATTATTTTCAAGACGTGTTTAATTAATATCAAAAATATAAGTAACAATTAAATAATAGCTTGTATCGCGAATTTTTCGAGACCTTTTTCGGTAGCTTACGGTGTAACTAACAAATTTCATTTAAATTTTCGTCAAAGTCAACATAATTATACAGATTAGAGAGAATCATAATCCATCAATTAGTTATTTATTAATTCATATTTAATTTTAATTGTCAATAAATTACTTTTTTTTCAATAATTTGAGCCAATATTTTAACAAGATAGAATGTATTTATCGCATTTTAAGTTACAGTTATGAATATATTGTTTTATTTACATACTTTACCACGTATTTAATAATTTATAAATCCTGGTGGATAAAGAAATCCGATCATCATCAACAGCCTATAAATGCCCACTGCTGAGCAAAGCCTCTTGTCACACGGAGAAGGTTTGAGCATTAATCACCACGCTTGCTCAATGCGAGTTGACGATTACAAACTTATAATTAGAAATTATAAGCCCAAGTTTCCTCACGATATTTTCCTTTACCGTTTATCAGTGGTGTCTGAATAATCTTAGAAAGCACATATAACTCGGAAAAAGTCACATTGGTATTTGCCGTTGGTAGGTTTCAAACCCGCACCCTCATTCATGAGAAGCGGGCGTCTTAAACCTCCGGGCCACCACGACATCCGATATATTTTGATAATTAAACTTCTTAAAGCTATTGTGAATCTGTGACTAATAGTATTTAATTCGCCAGAGGCGCCATCTATGAAGTGCAAAAATTATTTTGATACTAAACAAAAATCTAGTTTTGAGCATGTATATTTTACCTGAAAACCAGCCGGGTGCAATATTTTAACCCAATTTCTTTATCCAATAGAAATTTCACTATAAAACTTATTGAAATCGGATAAAAACACCTTAAAAATAGCTAGCTAATCAAAATTTTACCGGGAACTTTGTCTTATGGAGTCGTCATCAGCAAAACTGGCTCTGTTCCTCCGCTCACAGCGTTTCTGATGCTGTCTTATGAAAGCACTTAATCTATTTAGAAGAAACTGCTTATCGTGGCCTTCTAGAACGAGTTGGTTCTTTAAAACTGTAACCATATGTCTATTAGCGGCCGCAACAGCCCAATAATAGTATAGAAAGAAAAGTAAGACCGCAAATGCTGGTACTGCGAACGTAGATGTGCCTAACCGGAATATAAACTCCCTAATAACAAAAGGAAAGCCCTCAAACGTCTGCACAACAAATTCCCAAACGTTCCCATAGCCTCTGAAAGGCCCGCAGTTTACTGAAGGGAATATTTCTGCCACGGAGTAAGCTACCGGAGCTATGGACACTATAAAACCTAGGAGTAATACAGACATGAATAGGGACTTGGATTTTGACGCTTTGTATACAACTGGAGACGGCGTACAGTTCGTCAGACAGGTGAACTTTTTAATGTAAAATATTAAAAAATAAAATATAGTTCCAATGATTGGTAGAAATGGACAGAAGAATGAACCCATCCATATTATAGTTTGTGTGTAAACTATGTCTAGAACATGTTTAGGTAGATAGAAATCTTGTTCGCCTATCATTTTGAAGCATCGACTGTTCGTATGTCTCGCTACAAACGCTCTGGGTAGATTAATGAAAAACGTCGTTACAAATTGTACTGCGAAATCAGTTAGGATCAACTTATATAGTTGTTGGCCTACATAGGTCTCCCAACAGTCTAGTTTTGATGGGTCATTGTTATTGTACGAACAAACAAACCGGTTATCTCTTACATATGTGTACATTTGACTCAGAAGCACGGCTAAAGAAGACAGTCTAAGTAAAACTGTTCGCAATAGAGTTATGAATAAGACGTAAGCAGGAGTGTAAGACTCAAATTTTATTAAATAACTAAATATTTCTGGTACTATTATGTTTAAAACTACTATACATATAAAGGGTAAAAATTCTAACAACGTGTTCTCTAACTGGCCAAAGAATAATCCACCTTCCTTGTATAGCCTTAGAGTGAATTTTTCAGTGTGAGATTGGTTGGAATTTTCTACGTGTACCTCATTCAGATTTTCACTAAATTTAGAGGTATCTTCGTTTAATTTGTCCGTGGAATAATTAAAAGTGAAGTATATAAGGACGCCTGAAGCTATGAGTATCACAAAAACTACTATGTTGACTAGCAACCGCTTGAAATATATCAATATTTGTGACTCCCTAGTCCTCAATTGTCTTTCCTCATTAATTTTTTCCTCCTCTAGGTATCCTTTTACCTCATTATATATACCTTTGTGTTTAATTTTAGCTGATTTATCATTATGGATACAGAAATCCCAGCCACCGAAGACTAAATTGCAATATTTGTAAAATTGTCCTTCATTCTCAACTAACCTCTCCTTGAAACCTCTTGCCGCTGTTTTGACTATGGCAATCAAAGACAATAAAACCCAAGAGATAGCCACAAGAATATAAGCCATAGGCATGTTATAATAAAGCTCACTTTGGAACAAATTTGCTATGTAATATGAGTAGATTTGGTCTGTGTAGACGCCATAGAACAGTATAGTTCGTTCCATCCACCCAGTACCTTGGATGACGTCGAAAAACACGTTGGAATCGGTCAAATTCTTCGTCATATAGTAATTGGAACAGCATATAGTGGAATTCTGTTCATAATCTTCGCAGGGATAATGTATTTCGTGAAGTAAAGTCTTTGGGAGTATCATGAATAGTATTATTATTACTGAGATGGCTAAGTTTAGGAATAGCAGCCATCGTAGGAAGAGGAAGTAAGAGACTACGCCGGTCCCGAACTTGCCTTCGATCTCTCTCATGGGAGACTGCCAGAGTTCCAGCTTGCCGACTATTTCTGAGAATCTTATGCTGAACCGATGCCAGACCTTGCGTTGTCTCCATTGCAGCTGCTCGAAGCCTTGTAGGCGGAGTTTTGTGGCGTTCTGGAAAAACATGGTAACATTTTTTATCTTTTACTTTCTTTAACTGTGTGTGCTTGTAATTATAGCTATTTGTTAAATTATACACTTTATTTTTGTTTATTAGTCTGTAAGCCTTCCATGGCATAAAATATTTGAAGGGCTATTAGGATGAGCTGCTTATATAAATTATATAATTTATGAATACGGGCTCCGGTTAAGTCCGAAACGAATTGAGCATCCTCAAAATAGAAAGATGTCAATCGCATGAACATTACTGAATATATATATGTATATGTACGGTCAAAGGTCAAAAGTCCCCTGCCACCGTAATACTACTATCGGTTGCGCTGCAGCGCTTATACACACACACGTTTATGCGTTCGCACGCGTTTTTATGCACATTAACATGATATTACTTACGCATTGCCGTGTGAACATCACTCGCGATGGCAGTAGATTTTTGACCTTTGACTGTACATATCTTCACACTTCTCTCCCATTATGACAGAGACAGATAAAAACGATGCCGTCATACCTCTTCTACTTCCATTCACAAATCTTATGTAAAATTCTCGAATATATTGTAACATACCTGTAACCTCGCCTTGAGCTCTCGTTTCTGGTTCATGGGTACCGGCATAGCCTTGATCTGCATGATCTCCTCCCATGTTCGCTCCTCGTTCGATAGGTTCTCTGTAATTGTTTAATTAACATACTTAGTGATATGCCTTATATTTACAAGGGAACACATAAAGATGGGCATTGTGTGTCATCATCACTATCATATCAGCCACAGGACGTCCACTGCTGAACATAGGCCTCCCCCAATGACCTTCAGATAGGCCGGTTAGAAGCGACCTGCATCCAGCGGCTCCCTGCGACTTTAATCAGGTCGTCTGTCCACCTTGCGGATGGATGTGTATAAATAAGTATAAATACATATACATACAGTATAAATAAGTAAGTCCCTTCGCACATATTTAATTTTTTTTATGGCATAAGCCGGTAAGCGAAAATATGGATCACCTGATGGTAAGCAATCGGCGTCGACCGGAACAGAGGCGTTACAAGTGCGTTACCGGCCTTTTGGGGATTACGAGTTTGAGGATCGTTGGGGATTCAGTAATTGGGGAGATTGGGGAAGGGGAGGGTAATTGGGCCTCCGGTAACCTCACTCACACGACGAAACACAACGCAAGCGTTGCTTCACTTCGGTTTTCTGCTCGGCTGTGGTATCACTCCAGTCGAGCCGGCCCATTCGTGCCGAAGCATGGCTCTCCCACACTTTAATATAGTTTTGGCTCGTTTAATCCATGACAATGTTATAATTCTTGCATAAACTACGTTTAAAAAAATCGACTTCAACTCCCTCTTTTTTCTGAGTCGGTTAATTAATATACTAAAACCTTCTCTTAAGTGTAACAAAGCAAAAACTTTTCTGAAAACTGCATCGAAATCGGTTCAGCCAGTAGCGAGATAATCGCGCACAAACCTCCCTTTTTTTCTTATTCAAGTCGGTTAACCCGTTGAAATTCATCCCCTAAATTTGTTCATACAAAAGTAGTCTCTAAACATTAGAAATAAGGTCTATAATGTGTGTGAGGAGTGGAGAGCGGTCACCGGTGACCGCTTGGGGATGTATAGGTTAAAAGTTTTAACCGACTTGAATAAGAATAAGATGTGTGTTTTATGTAACTTAAACCACACACAGCCATACTTTGGCATGAATGGGCGGCTCGACCGCAGTGATACCACGGCAGAGCAGAAAACCGACGTGAAACAACGCTTGCGTTGTGTGCTAACATAAAAATGTAATAGAGGTGGATTAGAGGGATTTTGAAGCTGGTGGTTGGCAAGAAATAGCCAAGATCCGTAAAAATGCAGAAACCTGGTATCAAAGGACAACATTCACTTTGGGTCGCGAAATAATTTTTTACCGACTTCATAAAAAGGAGGAGATTCGGCTGATTGTTTTTTTTTTGTTTGTTCGCGCAGTACTCCGCCATTTGTCAACCGATTTCCAAAATTCTTGTTTTGTTTGGCACCGACTTCTTACCTATTAGTAGGTGGGTAACCTATCAGTACTAATAATAGTTATGTTTTGCTTTTTAGTTTTGACTTTTTGTTTGCTATTAGTTTTTGGTTTTTTGAAGTCGGTTTTTTAAACGCAGTTTTTATTTACCTCTTTGCTTATCATTTTGTCTCCAATTATAATGCCTCATATTGATCACTATCTCATCAATACACACTTCACAATATTGTTTATGATAACATCAAATAACACTACACTGCTATTCAAGATGGCTTCGCTATTATTGTTTTAAATAAACACAGTTGTTTATTTGTCCACTATTACTATATTATGCATATGAACACTAAACAATAATAATGGCCACGTTGGTCGAATTTGATTCCCAAGTCGGGAAAGTACTTATTAACACTTTTTGTTGGACCGTGATATAACCCTGATAAGCTAGACTTTGTGATCCGTAATTCAGTCCATTTAGAAAATAATGCCCAAAGGCCTCTTCTCACACGGAGAAGGTTTGGGCATTAATCACCACGCTTGCTCAATGCGGGTTGGCGATTACAAACTTATAATTAGAAATTATAAGCCCAGGTTTCCTCACGATGTTTTCCTTCACCATTTGTCAGTGGTGTCTAAATAATCTTAGAAAGTACATATAACTCGGAAAAAGTTACATTGTTACTTGCTGTTGGAAGATTTCGAACCCGCACCCTCATGAATGAGAAGCGGAAGTCTTAAACCTCCGGGCCACCACGACACAAATCAAATCTCTTTTATACTTCTTAATTTTAGTTAGTTACTTTCGGCACTGATTCGACTGAATGTCAGTATTTTTACAAGAAACTACTGACACTTGCCCTCCACTTCAACTCTCTCAATCAAATGAGTAACTGCGTAGTTATTGATACATTGTAATGAATATGAAGCCCTGACCCATTCGTAATAGAGTGCTAATTTGCTTGAGTTCATTTACTGAGAACCGAATCTGTTAATTGTGCGCCAATTAGGTTACTGGTACTGTATTTTTTAACTGCTAAAGGTATAACCTGGGTGTTTTCAAGGCCCGAGTGAATAGGTTGCTTGAGTCTATGCGTCAACGTGCTCCATCGTAGACTGCATCATCAATTACCATCAGGCGAGATAGTGGTGAAACGTCGGCACATCAAATTAAAAAAAGAAACTGCACGTCTGCCGCGCAACGTGAAGCGGGATTCCAGTTTAGAGCTACTCTTTGTCTAATCCACAAATTGTTGTTCTGGGTCTAGGTGTCATGCATATTTGTAAACGCACCCACGACACAGGAGAAAAGCCTAGTGTGGGGCAATGTTTAAAAAATCATCCAGTAAGCCATAGCACCTATGGATCTTTTTTTTAAGGGGGGAAAATCATCGAATGACTTCTCCCGCCTAGGTGAGACGTGAGGGAATGTTCTGACATCAGTCAGTCAGTAAGAGCAGACTCTTCCTCCAGACAAAACCACTCCGTTCCTACTCCTGCACTTTGAGCCGGAGCCCCGGTAACCCGTTAGGTTCTCCGCTACTCCGATATAATATGGCTCTTAGCACCTATGGATACAAATACAATACAAATATTATAAATATAATTATTTTGTTCAGATAGTCATGCAACTGAGACAGGCAGTAAATGAGTGAGTCAATAAAATAATTACTGACAACCAGACGAACTTCTTTTATTTTAAAAGACTTCATGCGCACACTAATGTACAAGGTGGGCTTAATGCCTAGGGCATTCTCCTCCAGCCAGACCTTTGGGTGATGCAGAGACAAAAACAGTGGTCGATGCAAGAAGCAGGCGTATTTAAGACTTAACTTATAATTACCTGATAAATCCGGCAACATAGACAGATGTATATCTCGGCTCTGTGTGGTCCGCGCGTAAGTGGACTGTCGGCGCTCATTCTGCGAACGCGCGCGTTTCACCGTCGTAGCTACGAACGAAATGATTCATTGTCAATTATTATAATTAAATGCATTCGAACTGGAAAATGTGCTCTGTTGTTTTAGATTTAAAGTTATATCGCCGTACCAGGTTACTTAACTCGTCGAGTACCGTCATTATAGACACAATTATAGAACAATAGGTTGCGGTCACCGGTGACCGCTTGGTGTTTGACAGTTTAACGTAGTCTTTGGCAGTTTTCGGAGCAAAATCGGTCCTAAGGAAGTTCTTTTTATGGCATAAGCTGGTAAACGAGCAGACGTATCACCTGATGGTAAGCAATCGGCGTCGCCATGCACACCTTGAACACCAGAGACGTTAGGAATTTGAGGACTGTTGAGGATTCAGGAATTAGGGCAGAGTGGAGGGGGGTAATAGGACCTCCCGGAATCGTACTCACACAACGAAATACAATACAAGAGTGTCGTTTCTCGGCTATCGGCTTTGTCGTGGTATGACTCCGGTTGAGCCGGCACATTCGTGCCGAAGCATACTTCTTATATAAGGTGCTCTATAATTATCTGCCACGGCTTTAATGGGAGATAGTGTTATGTTTACAGATTACAATTGTGAAGAAATTTCGTACCCCGGACCAGTTAATTACATAAAGTAATTAAGTAAACATTGACTACATTCTGCATAATGTCGTTCACAAATTACGCGCGATGCGTCGCTTAGTCAATGAAAACAATTGCTATCTCTTTCCACGTGTACTGAGAATGAAAACGGAAATCAGCTGAC